GCCTCAAGAAATGAGACACTTCTGCCCTGCAGTGGAAACAGTTCCACCATAGAGGTGGTTACCCCTCATAGCTGTAAGTTCATGACTGGGTCAGTACTGGCCTGTCATTATTTCTGGGCTAGTGAGGATGCATGAGACAATCAATCATGGGGCTTGTGTGTGGATAATGGGTATAACTAATGTGCCTGAAATAGCAGCTGGCTTTCAGATAATGGGCTTCCCAAAGCGCACTAAGTGTCATTAATAGTATTCATGGCTGCAGGTCGCTTGCCAGTAAAAGTAAGTAAATACATTCATCAGAATTCAACATAGATAAGCATTAAAATGAAATATGTAGGAAAGGCACATGAAGAATTTCAGGGGGCAAATTGAGATTGTTTTGCATGGGCTGTTCTCTAGCACTATGACTTCGGAGACATCTGGGTGAACCCTGACAGGCTGCTGAACAAGGAACACAGTAGAACTGAAAGCACAACTGGCATCCTCTAAACTCCGGTGCCTTCACCCGGGCAGCATGCTGAGAACAGACAGAACCAGCACCCCACATAGGAAAAATGCTTTCTGAAGTTTACCACTCAGGTTACCTGCCAACCTTATCTTTTTAGGGAAAGACTGTCAGTTATTTGTCCAGCCTTTTTCTCTTTTTTTCCTTGTCCTTTCATGGAATCTGCCTTGGTTCATGGAAGATCGAGGGAGAAAGAGGAAATACGTGGCCTGTCCCCAGATCTGAATCAAAATCCCATTTCACTACATGCAGCACCCTTGACAATAATAATCTCATTGGTCACAATGAAACTAGAAATCATTCCTCATAGTGTCTGCAGCAATAAAAACCATGAATGGCAGTTACCATGGTCTGGATTGGTTTCCTCCAGGTCTTCTTTAGTCTGTTCCCTAAGCCATTCTCATCCCAGGATGCCTCACAGCCCATTCTTTTTTGCAGTTTGATCCTGAGCTTTTAACTCCCTGGGTTGTTCCCAAAGCTACGTTCCTTTTCTGCTGCCGGCTTTATGTCCTTTCTGTAAAACTCTGTTCAACCATGTCGAGAACCATCCATTAAAATTAAAGCCTTTCCTATGCTGACCACGGAAATTAAGTGGAATTCTAGAGCCTTCCTCCAGGCAGGCAGAGAGCCCTGAGTGATGGGTATCATGAAGGTCAGTGCACCTGAGAGGGACTGTACAGAGGGCTGTGGTCAGTTACACCAAGTCCAGCTGGAGGCCAGGCCCTAGTGGTGATACTGGGACCAATACTGTTTAACATCTTTAATGACCTGAATGATGGGACAGAGTGCACCCTCAGCATGTTTGCTGGTGACACAAAACTGGAAGGAATGATGGACACACCACATAGTTGTGCTCCATTCACATCTCGACAGGCTGGAGAAATGGAAAAACAGAAGTCTCATGAAGTTCAGAAAGGGGAAATGCGATGTCCTGCACATGGGGAGGAGTAACCCCACATAGTCTTATATTCTGGGGCCTGGCCGGCCGGAAAGCAACTTGGTAACAAAGTGCCTGGAGATCCTGGTGGACACCAAGTTGATGAGGAGGCAGGAATGTGCCCTTGTGGCCCCTCCTGGGCTGCATTAGGCAGAGCCCTGCCAGCTGGTCAGGGAGGCGATTCTTCCTCCCTGCTCAGTCTGGTGAGAGATACCTGGAGTGCTGCATCCAGTCCTGAGCTCCCCAGTGCAAGACAGACACGGACATACTGGAGCTGATCCAGTGAAGGCCTGAAGATGATTATGGCCTTGGAGCACCCGACATATGGAGAGTGAAGGTAAGTGCTGGAGCTGGTCAGCTTGGAGAGGAGAAAGTTATCTGAGGGATCTCATCCATGTGTATAAATACTTGACTGGAGCAAGTACACAAGATGGAGCCAAACTTCTCAGTGGTATTTAGTCAAAGACCAAGAGACAATGGGCACATATTGAAATGCAGGCAGTTTAGGTGAAGCATTAGAATAATCTTTTTCCTGTGAGGGTAGTAGAACACCATCAGAGATGGGAATGCCTGCACATATGAGAGTCATGCATGGAGTTTTAGTATTCTCAGTAATTTCGGCACATTGGCATTGTGGATATATTGGTTAGGGCTTCAGATACATCAAAAATCATTAGGTTCTTTCAGATATTTTTGAATGTTTTCTTATATCTGTTCTTCCTGCTTACTTATTGAAGTATTTTTTGCAAAGATGAAAATTTTAACTACTACTTCTTTTTTTTTTTTTTTTAAGTCTTTCCTAGTTAGGGGCCCCCTGGTGGTCTAGTGGTTAGGATGCAGCACTCTCACCGCTGCGGCCCCGGGTTCAATTCCCGGTCAGGGAATCTCCCCCGGGCAGATGGAGCTCGTCAGCCCCGTAAGGCCATCCATCTAAGAGAAGGTCACTCTAAACAAACCTACATCCTGAGGACCTCGCTGCCACTGTCCAAGCTTGCTCGGCCCCGGCAGATGAACCTCAGGATTAAAGGGTGGGCTCAGTTCAGCGCACACTGGGTCTCACCTAAAAAAAATCCATTGTGCAGGCTCGAAGCGTAAAGACCTTTCTCAAATCTTCGCTCGCGAAGACTGGCCATACTTTTCTAGTTAATGCTTCATTTTATTTATACTTCAGTATCAGCACAAAAAGGCAGTAATAAGTCAGGCTATTTAATATTTGCATAATTTGCTTTTTTTCATTACACTGGTAATTGTGTAGCAGTTTGCAGCTGATTTACACAACTCATTTTTGTGCAAACAAAACAGTTATAAGCACTAATTAGAGCACTTTATTTTAGCAGCACACAAAATCCCCAAATTTTGATCGTGGGTACCTATATCAGTTCAGAGCTTAAAACTTCAGCAGATGTTGTCTCTTGGAGTAGGTTATAGAAACAGGAAGAGGCAAGTAGGTAGTACTAGGAAGTCCGCTCTCTGTTCGGCACAAGGATGATGTCATGAGCAAGAATGTACATACCATCTTCTGCTTGTTTGCTTGTTTGCTGTAGTTCAAGGATCTGAGATAAAACATTAAAAATGTTGTCTTTTAAGGAAAATAGAGAAAATCTTCCTGCCTCCTCAAAACATCAGATGGCTAAATCCAAGGGCACACAGACACATAACAGGGCAACAGATAGATTGCAGGTTCGTAAACATACACAGTCCATAAAACTCCCATTTAGGTACCTAATTTTCTGATCCTGAGCATATATGGAATTGCTGTCAACTTGCCTAAACTAATTGTGCTCATGTTTTGTCTGATTCCTAAATCTGCTTGGGACTGACAGACCAGGTAACCTGACTCTTAACTTCCTGAAGGGCCTATTTCCACAGGCAGGCTCAGACATCCTCCTCCTCTGCTGAAATCCCCCACTGTGCCAACATGAGAGATTCATGGAGCCATAAACAGAGCAAGCCAAAGGGACCACGCCTTCTGCACTGTCCTAAGGTGAATATTCCCCAGTGAGGCTGACAATAACTGGCTACCACTCTGTGTCAGGATGTCCAACTATTTTTTCCTTCACTTTTGTTAATGAATCTAAATGTATCTAAAAAAAAAAATTAATTGTTGGTGTACTCCATGTGTTTCATCTATGGACCTTTTGATCTGATGTTCAGGGATGTCACAATCAACTTTCAAGATAAGGTTCCTTTTCAATTAAAGGAAAATAAAGAGAAAATAAAAGAACAGTGGGCAGGGAAGATACTGCTGTATAAAGTGCATCTCTGGTCTGCCCAGTGCTCAGCTCTGGCAAGATTGGGATCAGTTTTTTAATGAAATCACATTTTAATGTGACTTGTACCGATGTATGTAACTCTTAGTAAGAATACGATACCACAGTCCCAGGCTCACATTGGCGACCGGTCCATCTAAAATAATCAGAACCTACCCTTCTACCCAGATGGCAGAACCACCAAGAGCAATGTGGTAGGCTCAAGCATTTTCCATCTATTCAGAATGGAAGATGTGGGGCCTTTCGGATCCAGAAATGTGTAGAAGTTGCAATATCTTAATATTACCAAAGTTATTTTAGGTAATTTTTGATTTTTATTTGCAGGAGAGATTTTCCTTGCCACCTTTTAAAGATCTAATTAATCAAAAATGTGTATGGAAACATGTCAGTCACTTAGGCATGTCTCATAACTTGAAGGTAACTGGTGGTGCAAGTCTGCAGTTACTGAGAAATATTGCAATCCTCCAGAAACTGAACCCTCAGTCTGACCATCTTCATATTTCTCCTACCTAGCTTTCAGGGAATGCATAAGAACAGGAAATTAAAAAAATGAATCTCTTCTTCAGAATACTCATGAAATAAAACTTTTCCTTGGCAATATTATACTTCTTTTGCTTTTGATTAATTCTAGGGTCTTACTTACACACTTCAGATGACCTCCATACTACAGCATCAAATAAGAAGAAAGGGTAGTTCCTTGAAAATGAAGATTCCATTAATTTAAAATTCTCTGAGGGAAAAAGCTGTAGATAGAAAAGAGCTGGCAGGAAGTTTATATGCTGCCAGTGTGCTATATTCACCATAAAATGCACATCTAAATCAGGTGACTGCTTTCTTCCATTACTAGCATTGGGATATGAAGAAGCAGTTGTTCAGTGTAAAACAGCTCATGTGAGTAAGAGAATGCAATTAAATTATCTTGAGCCAGGCACCCATGAAAGCTTCTCCTGTAGCAAAGAGATGGGGAATCATAGAGTGCCATTGCCTAGAATGATTTATTTGTAAAGTCCTGCATAAGACAGAGAGAAGTATGCATATTCCATTCAATTATGCAAATATTGTCAGCTATTTAAGATATAGTATATTTATTTCTGAGAAATCAGTGATATTTAGAAAAAAAAAAAAGACTTATCCCTCATTTTGAAACACATTTCTGGAGCAAATCCAAACCAGCAGCTGGAATTTTATGACTCCTGCAGAGTTCTGAAAAATCCCACATTCAGTCCTAAGGAATTGTTACTCACATTCAACATGATGACACTATAAAAAATAGCTAGAAAATGGCTTATTGTGGACTGAAGAGTAGGGCAATCTACTTCTTAATTCCTCTGACCTGCAATTATGCAGAATTCCAGTGCTGGCAAAAAATTGGCTGGAGGATCGGAACTACAATTTCAAGGCTTAATGTTTGTTTTTCATTCATAATGGAAATGCCAGAAGTAAAAGCTGGACATCAGAGATTGTAAGATTTGTAAGATTGTAAAATATGTAAGATTTAGGACACGGATGACACAATCATCTGAAGTTTTATTTCATCCCACAGTACTTGAAAGCCCAGTTTTCACAGAAGAAATAGCAGAGGTAAATGCCAAAGTAATTTTCTTTTTAAAGTAGTTATATGATTTCTAAACCACTTCATTGCCCTGAAACCTATTCTTGGCTGTGTATTCTCCTGGAACTCTTGGGACAGTTTTCAGCACCTGCTCCTTTTGTCGGTGCCTGTTGGGCTTAGCAACTGCAGAATCTTGTCCCTCTCCATCTTCTCTGAACCTGCTTGAACACCCCAAAGGCATCTTCTGGAAGCTTTGCCCTGTGAGCAAAGAATCTGGCTGGAAATCTTTATTTTATAGTGCTTACAAATTCCTATGCATACTCACATTTTTCTTTAGAAATACCAGTAAAAAAACCCCCAACATTATTTAAGTAAAAGGACTATGAAAGTAAGGTGAATATTAGCATAAACATATCTCTTCTTCAATAAAGAACACAAGATTGTCGTTCAAATATGCAGGAAATCCAAATTTAGTGCCACCAATAATGAAACAAAAATATCAATGGTCACATGACTCAAAGCTGACATAAACCCAGTCTGACACTTCTAACCTGGTAAAACGATTTTGGTTTGTTAACACCATGTTGCTGGGTTTTGTTCTAGATCAGGTATCCCCTGTCCTCTCATAGGCTGCAAGAGAGTTGCCAACAAAAGCAACTCTTCATCTCATACTCTTAATTCAACAGAAATCCAGGATATACCTACTCTCTGTTTGAATCACTGATCCTGCAGCATTACTGATGATGGGATTGTGGCCCAAGTTCGATGCAGTAAAAGCCAGGAGCTGCAGCTTTCATCAACGGGATTTTAAACAAGGGGTTTTCATAAGTAGCAAGACACACATTCTGCTTGAAGGGCTGGCACAAAGTCAAGACAGAAGAATGCTGTGTCAGGAAACTGTCATATTTACAGTATAAATTAAACCTAGGAAACCCTTTAAATCTTCATCTGAATAAAGGGTTCACATGTAGTTGTTTGACCACATAAAATGACACAATTTCTATAAATGTGAGGAAAGCACTGACAATATAAAAATAATCACAACGTAATTTTTAGGCAGGATGAAGCTCTTATTGCAGTCCATGCCAAGAAGTGCCTTGGAAGATTAAAAAAAAAGTCACCTGTACTACTATCATTATTTTCAAGTAACATTCAAACCTGCCACTTTGAATTTTTATGGCGGTTGATTTTTCCCTGTAAAAAATAAAAGGAATACTTAATTGCCGCAGCATTACTCTCCTATTAGGACATGGTTGTGTCAGAAATAATTTTAGTGGGGAGATTTGAGGTCTTTTGGTCAAATGGTCGCAAGGAATTGGCTGTAATAGTAACAGAAATCCGACCTGTCACAATCGGGTCCTGGGCTCTTTATGGTGCAAATTCTTGTTTATTTGATCAGGGGGCTGTCGGTGCCGTTCCACGGTAGTTTGCCTCTGTTTTAACTCCTTATTCCCCAGCTTTCGCACACCTACGTGCAGGCAAACTGGCCAGTCGGGAATTGCGGAGGAAAAGGGACGAGCTCATTCCAGTGGTGCCTCCCTGAGGCGGGAGCCGCGAGGCGAGACGAGGGGCCGGCGGGACGGGCAGCACACGCCGTCCCCGTACCTTGGGCGCCCGCAGGGGCCAAAACTCAGACCCTTGCACGAGGTGCAGTTCCACACCCCGCTGCCGTCCTCACGGCCGCCAACACTCGTGGCGCGGCCGCGCCCGGAGCCCCCGACCCTGCGCCGCGCGGGAGCTCCGCGCCCCGTCAGCACCTGGCGGCCGAAAGGCGGTGGCGACCCCTGCCCCGCCCCGCCCCGCCCCACCTGGTCCCGCCGTGCTCGAGCGGGGCCGAGCGAGGCCGCCCCGGGCTCTCCATTGTGCAGCCACCAGCTCCAGCCACCTGCCGGCGGCGCCAGGGCCGGGCACTGCTCCGCGCCTCCCTCTGCCTCCCACAATCCCCCCGCCCACCCCTCCGGTCCCCGGCTGAACCGGGGAGAGCCCTCGCCTTCCCTTCCTCCCTGCCTCCCGTCCCCCAGGCTGGCGGAGCTCCGCCGCCTCCCCTCCCCCGTCCTCCCTCCCTCCCACGGCGCGGCCGCCGCCCCTCCGCCCTTGCCCGCCGGAGCCGCCGACTTCCCGCTGCGCGCGGGTCGCCGCCGCCTCTCCCTGCCATGAGCCGCCCCCCGCCGCCGCAGCAGCGCTGAGCGGGGAGCGCGGAGCCATGCCGGGTTGGAAGAAGAACATTCCCATCTGCCTGCAAGCCGAGCCGGAGCGAGGTGAGCGCGGAGCACCGGGGGCGCCAGCCGCCCGCCGGCGCGGGAAGGCAGGCAGGCTGGCGGGCGGGGGGCTGCGGCGCCGACGGGCGCCCCCTCCCCAGCCCATCCCCAGGGCACGGCGGCTCCCGCCCCGCGGTGGGACGGGCGGGCGGCCCCGCGCCTTCCATCTTGCTCCGCCGCCGCGGTCCTGGAGCGGGGGGCGTGCGGGGCGGTGGCGGCCGGGGGCCGGCACCCGCGGCGGGGCGGGGGGGACACACTGGGCCGGGCCCCGCCGCTCCCGCTCTCGCAGCAACTAACTTTTCTCCGCGGTGCTGTCGCCTGCGCTGCCCCGGCCCGGGCTTCTGCAGCCGGGGGCGGCGTGAGCCGGGGGGCGCGGGGGTGCTCCGAGTGACTTCGGGAAACTTCCCCGCGTGTGGCTCTGCCCCGGGCCGCTGCTGGACCTGTTTCGTCGCTCCTCGTGGGACGCCGGCACCGCGGGGCCGCGATCGCCCGCTGCGAACTGACAGCGATCGCGCCTCGGTGCCCAGCAGCGACCGCAGGAGCTGCCCCGAGTCCTGTCAGCGGCCCAGGGATGGCCTCAGGTTCCCCAGCTCCGTCGTACGGGTCGGTGCTGGCGGAAGCGAGATCATTTCTGGTCGCTTTTCAAAATAAACACTCTATTTATTCTAACAGAAAGGTAACTTTGCCCTTTCCTCAGAGAGGGCTTTTGTCACGGCAGGTGTTGTGTCACTTGCTCTGCCTGTAAGTCAAAGGCAAAAAGGCTCGTACATCATTTACACTCAAGTATGTCCGTCGTCTTACGTCTTTGATTTACAGTTTAATTCTATGGTAGCATATGGAGTCCTGAAGTAGGACGTTTGGGTTTGGTTGCCGCCAGGTTGGGTAGCTGGCTGTCCTGCTAGGGACAACAATTCACCAAGTATTAAAAAGGAGGAGGTTCTGTTTGCTGTGTGGAAGAAATCTTGTTCCCTTGCATTGGAGGTGGAGGTCTGTTGCAGAACTGCTGCCCTGCTTCTGACTAGTAAATCCTATTCCTAATGGGAAATATATGACATCATGAAAATAGTCACTGAAATGGGAACAGGCATTTCAGCTGTGAAAAGCAAGATTTTTAGTCTTTACTCTTAGTAAATACATCATTACTGAAATCTGTGGTCATATTTCTTTATGTCAGGAATCTGTGTAGCTGAGGAATCACAGAAACAGGATGGATGACAGTTGTCAAAATATATCAGATGCTTTTACAGATGAGGGAACTTCAGAAAGGGTCTTGTCTGGCTATGTCAGAAACTGGAAAGATTTTCTCATATTCTGCATTAAGGTTGTGTCATGAGCTGTAACGTGCGGACTTGTCGTTATTCAGAGTAAACAATGGTGGTGGTTTTGCTCTGATGGGTTTAATGCCAGTTAGAATACTGATTTGTTAACAGTTCTTGTTTATTCCTATTTCTGTTTAATCTCTTTCATCCTCATTATGGAGCTGAATAGATTTATATGTTAATAGTCTTATCACTGGTGCTTTCCTTTATTGTATTTCGGTTGTGTAAATAACTGTGCCTAAAGTAAATTATTACCTTCTGAAGTATGTTGCATTGTACAGTGCTCAAGTTTAGTTAGTAATTTAGCAGGATTCCAGTCACTGGAACTTTTCTGATTCAGACTCGGAAAAATATTAAATAGTCAAAATAGTTAATCAGTGTTGAATTTAATAGCTCTTGAGTATGAAGAATAGATGAAATAAAGCTTTCAAACTAGACAGAAAAACAGCCAGTGTAGTGATGAAATGGACGTGCATCTTTAGCTAATGTAGGAGTTTAGTGTGGCAATTGAGTAAAAGGCAATTACAGATACAGTTAAATTCTGGTTCAAAGCCAGTTGTGCTAACATCTCCCTCTTCTGTTTCTAGAAAATATTTCCATTCAGTTACTCTGCAGAACATTTTGTGTACATCGTGCTATCAGAAGACTTCCGTGAATGTAAATAGTGTTATTTTAAACTCACATTGTAGCCGATAACTTTCTGTGTTTTCGATATGGAGTAATACTGGGTGTGAAATATTTACTAATATAAATTCCTTTTATGTCACATATACAAGCCTGCTTACATATAGGATGTAGAATATCCATTTATCCATCCTAAGTGCATGTTGGATAATAATACTCTTATAGAATATAAGAATAAGAAATATTTAAATGCACATGTATTGTCTTTGATTTTATGTTTCTGTGATCTGATTGTTTAAACCACTGTTTTGTTCCTGTGACAGGAGCTAGGCTTTATTCAACCCCATGAACACCAACAGGACTCACTAGTTGTGATTTTGCTGTATAGCAACACAGACCTGCTAAGTTAATTTGGCACTGAAGTGTCTCTGTGGTGATCACTTGTAAAACCAACTATAAAATGAAAAGGAAAAAAACAACCCATCCAAACCAGAAAAACACTCCACAACCACAAACCAAACAAAACCTCAGAAGATAAGTGAGTAGCTAACTAATGCCAGTTTATCCATGTGCTTCCTGCTGTCTTTCCCTTTTAGGGAAGCCTCCCCTGCTGGTTTTATTATATCCATAGTTCATACCCCCCTTCTCTGTCATAATAAACAGGTACTGTGCAGCCTTAATTTCAAGTCTATTTGTAGCAGCAGATTTGAACTGGAAAACGTTGGCACTGGACGTGCTGGGAAAACTGGGAAGGGAAAGATTTCCCTCTGGTGAACCAGAAATGGTTAGTACCAGAGCATCTTTTCCCCTCAATCCTCATAGGCTTCCCTTTAGCAGCTTCTCGAGAGCTCTGTCTAGTATGGATCCTGGGTCCTCTGCGTGCACCTTGTAGGAAGCTGATTGGACCCTCATGTCCTCAACTGTGGAAGAGAGAGAAGTTCTGGGCACTAGTAAGATGTGAGACTTGAGAGTTGGGTGGATTTGTTAGAGAGGATGTGGACGTGAAAATCTTGCTGTGTCCTCAAGGCGCTGCAGCATAAAAGTTTCACTGGGTACTGATGGTCTTTGTCCAAACCAATGCAGCACTGCTTTGGGGAGCACTTCAAGGCTGTTGCCTCACCCCTGATGCTCAGTTCATCTGGTACGTCTGGATGGCAGTGCTACTGCAGTAGAATGTTCTGGTGCGAGGGATCAACTTAAAAACTATCCAAGGAGCTGCTTTGTTTTGATGTGGGGAGCTGCTGGGATATTGCAAACAGTGATAACCTTGTGCAGACACACTGGGTTTGTTCCAGGTAGGGTTATTTTAGTGCATGGGTATTCTTGTTTGCCCCTTCTTTGCATCAGAGCCCCCCCATCCATATTGAATACCTACCTCAAAAAGTCCTTAGCGTGCAGCCTGTTGTTGTTGTTCCTACAAGTCATGTGCTGAAATAGAGGTTATCCAAAAACTTGACAAAATCAGAATTTTGCTGATGGAAATTGGCCGGTCTTGCTGAAATGAAGTAGCAGAGACGTGGTCAATGCTGTTGGCTCACCTTGGCAACAATTGATACCCTGAGTGAAGGAGAGTAACCTGGGTTAATGTTCCAAGCATCAGAGCACGTGTATGCATGTCGGGTTTAGCATTTATGAGTGCTTTGTGGTGGAGAAGATTCTCTTCTGAGAGGTGGCAATCTGTGGTATTTCAACAAGTATTTTTAGATGTCTTCACTGTGGAAATTATGTAGGATACTTACATCAACAAAAAAATCATATTGTGCTAGTTTTCAGAGGCTAAAACCATACTTAAAATATGAAGTGGTAGCTCCTTTTTTGTGCATGCTGCAGCTCAGTTAGTGGTGTTCTGCTGCCTGCTCTATAATCGAACAGTACTCTGCAGTGATTATGCTGCTTCTGGCTTCCACCACCACAATTATCACAAAGAGTTGTTTCCTTTAGAGAACGGGAATTGTGTTCTGTGTTGAGCAAAAGGTCTGTAAGATATACCTGATGCAGTAAGCCCTGTCATTTCTAAAATGACACGTGAAGATGTACCAGTATAAGACAGTGTCTGTAAAATTCTGGGCACACTTCCCTCCTTCCCAGTTTTCTGCCTGAGACATTAAATCAGATCTTGTTATAAACCACCTAAAATACTTGTCGTTGAAGTGATATCTGAGTAAATACTTTAAGAAGAAAAATATTACTGGAATTTTGTTCAGTATCCCTTCCAATCGAGTTAAATGAAGGTGTTTTATGGAACTCCTGTTTCAACTTTAGAGCTGATTAAGTTTGACTTGAGTACAGAAAACAGTATTTGTATATCTTGTATGCTCACTATGGGACTGCTTGAGATCCCTTAATGTACATGCTTGTTAATTTTAAGAATGCATCTAAGTATGCTTTGGCCTTGTTTATTTTCTCTTTTTTTAAAGTATTATGTGTTCCACAGTTGTTTTGCCTCTACGTTTAACACATTAGCCCAGTTACATTGAGGAAGAGGGAAAGATTGTATTTTTATTTTCTGTTCTTCCATCCATGTTCACAGTTCTTGAAAGTCAGGGAAATGAGGTGAACTTTAGGAAGCATTTTAAAGGAAACATTAGGAAATGTTTTAAACCCCAGGACTCAAGGATAAAAAATATGCAAGTATTGTGTGAATCCTCAAATTCAAAACCAGCGTGTTCTCATGGAAGATGTGCTGACAACAAGCATCTATCCCTGAGGTTACTGCTGCGTGAGCTTGTCTGCTCATCTTAAGCTGGAAGAGAATCGGTTTCTTAGATAAGGGAGAGATATGAGCCTCTTACTGAATTTAATCATGTTATTGTGGGCTAGCAATTTGCATCTGATCAAAGGAGGCCAGTTTAGAGAGGTTATGCTTCGTACTCTTTCCAGGTGTATGTTAAAAATTAGCTTCTAGATTTTGAACACAGAAGGCTGAGGGTGTTTCAGGCTCTCACCTGGTAAGGCAAGAGGAATCTCTTTCTTCTTACATGGGTCCTCAGAAACTCAAGAAAGTGAGAACTGGAGACCTAGGATTGGAAACCTTGTGCAGAGGCCTTCTGTTTGTCTTTATCTGTTTTCTTACTTCTGTCACATGCCTCGTGAAAAGTTAAAGTATAACCTGGATGGCAGAAAGCCTTTTGTGAGGACTGGGTGTTGGGGATGGACATGTGGAGAGAGATGCTTGGAAGGCATTGCCGAAACTTAGTGTGGAGTCCAGATAGATACCTAGTGCGTGAACAATTGGGACATTTGGTCAGTTGTGATATGCAAAGCGCACTGTAGTTGGTTACAATTAAGGTGAAGAAGTGATGGACAAAATAAAGGTGAGGAAGGACGAAAATGAAAGGAAACGTCATCATATCTCAGCTGCTGACATAAGAAGCTGGCTTAACTAGCTGCATTCCTGCATCTGAAACTACAACTAAATCTCA